AAAAAAAAAAAAAAAAAAAAAAAAAGAAAAAGGAACAGAACCAAAAGGATACCAATGGGCTAAGGAGCAGTGGCTAGTGGAACCAAGGCGGGAGGGGGTATAGAAATGAAAGGCTTAGGGTAAGAGGATGGGGAGGACCAAAGGATAGTGGCAGAAATGAGCAAGTCTGGGGGTTCTACAAGCTCCAGCTCCTTGGGTTTGGGGCAGAAAGGGGAGGGGCATTAAGTGACTTTGAAGAGGAAATAGTGGTTTTTGTTCTCACAAACAAGGCCTCCACCCTTTCCCCTCCCTTTTTCTTTACCTTGCCCCCAACACCTAGATTTTCTTTAAGAACAAGAGAAATCTTGGCCACCTAGGTCATAGGAAATTAACTGGAGTGGGTTAGGCCTGAAGAAAGACTTCCTACAATGAGGAATTTCTTCCCTGCCTAGGTTTACAGCCTTCTTTCCCCCTCATTTCCCTCAACAGAGAGCCATCCCCTCCCAGAAGCCATTTAGCAGTCCTTCTGTTACCTGACCTTGAGATTCTTCCTGAAGGCTGTGTATACTCTGTTAATCTGTGTCCTTTATCACTGCATTCCTGTGTACATATCTGTTTGCACATACATGGCATGGCTATATCTCCATATGCGTCTTGTATAGATCATTTGTGTACAGGTTGTAGGTACATGCCCCAGGTATCTTCTGTCCCATGAAGAATCTTTTTCCAGCCTCCCCACCCTCTCCACACATCCTATCCATGTCATTCTGCTCTACATTACACCCCATAGGGCCTAGAGTTCCTCCCTCCTCCCCTCATGCTGTGACCTGTTCTTTCCTTCCTCCTTACCACTCTACCCTAAGCTTCATCAGCCAACCAGACACAAGGAACTTTCCAATACTACTAGTGGCCAAGGAAGAACTTCCTTTTCACTAGTGCCAATCAGCGCAGGGCACATCTGGGTTTCTTCTTCTACTCACTGCCTTTTCCCAATAGTCTAGTACCGACATAATTAAAGATTGTAAACAGGGCAGTTTCATGAATATTACATTTTAACATGAATAGGAATCTTCTTTCCTTCCAGGCCTGGAATCCTGATGGTCTGACACCTTAGAGTGATTTAAAAACTGAGAGTTTTTGTTTTCTTTTATTGTGTTTTAACAGGCTTGCGATGAGATTACACAAAAACACAAACCCTGAAATACAGCTTCTGGGGAGGGAAGAACCCAGGAGTTTGGGCTTTCTCGTACTTCCTTTCCCACCCTTGGAAGGGAGGAGTAATCAAACAGGGCGGAAGTCAAAACACAGCTGTCCAGAGAGGAGCTGTGGTCAGTGGGGAAGTCAGACAGTCAGTCACAGGGTTTGTCGTGATGGTGGCAGGTGGTAAGGTTGGGGGGGGGGGATGGAGAAAACAATGAAGAATCAGAGGAAACCCCCAACACCGCCAGACAGACTGAAGTGAGACTGGACTCTCCCTTCAGCATATCCCCACCCTGCTCAATGCTGGGTGGACAGAGGTGGATGGTGCTGGGAGGGAAGAGGAGAGAAAAGAGGGAGGAAGAAAGAGTGAAAGGGGCAGTGGAGGGAACAAGGACATTTCTGTTTCTTTTCCCGGGACCTGACTAGAGCTGGGTGGAGGCAAAGCAGCGTGTGTGGGACTTGGCATGAAATGACCAATGATGATGAGAAGTGACCAGGAAATTCCATTCCCTAGGACATTAGGGTCTCTGAAATGTATGGGCGGTGTCAGGGTGTGAAGACAAGACAGGGTGAATGTGGTGTGAGGGAACAGGACGGAGGCCAGAAAGGAAGTAAAAGCCATGGGCTGTAATTCTCCTTTAAAGCAGCCAGACAAGAGTGGGTTGAGGAAAAATGAAGTCCCGAGCTGCTAAACTGTAGAGGAAGAGCCACCTGAATCCACTGCCCAGCATTTCAATTTCACAGGGAATGGGGAGGAGCTGGGAACACAACAGGAGGGATCAGAATTAGAATAAAGCCACATCCTGATAGCCAAGTGGCAGAGGAGAGGCTTCTTGAGCCTCAAATAAGAACAGTGAGATACAGAGCTGGGAAAGACACCCCACCCCCTCCACTACCACCACCAAGGTCACACTAGGACTTCAGGATCTCGAAGCTGTTGGGGTGGAAGTGAGCGAGGGAAGGGATGGGAGCAAGGTGCCAGTGAGGATGTACAGAGGTAGTTCCCTGGTCCTGTTCTAGCCCCAAACCGGTTTTCCCGGTCCCTTTGCCTGCAGCCTCCAGGCCTCCAGCCCGCTGCCCGACAAGCCCTCACAAGAAGAAGCTGGAGAGAAGAGAACTGGGAGAAAGGAGTGGGCAACTCTGGCTGCACGCCCAGAGCTGCAGGTGGTCCCCGTATGCAGACCACCAGACATGGAGGATTCTCGAGGGGCTCTAGAGAAGGGAGGTGGACCCATTTTCAGCCAAGTGACTGACCCCAGCTCCAGCTTTGCCACTCCCTCTGAAAGGTCTTGCCGGAGCTTATGAGGAAACAGCGATTAGGCCCTAAACTTCCCCTGCCCCGACAGATTTCATCTCACAGACTCCATGTCTGGCCGCCCCCCCCCCCAAATTTACGCAGAAACTCGCTGCCCCTCCCACCGTCAACTGGGACCCGGACTTCTTGACTCTTTCAGACCCTGCCCTACTCCCACCTCCCCCAACACTTCAGTCCCTGCTTTCTCTTCCACTCGTCACAGTATTAGCCTGCGCGCAGCCGGGACGCGGATGAGGGCTGCCACAGCGGAGCGCGCCGCTCTTCCCACCGCCGCAGCATCCCGAGCTCTCTGGACCCCCACCCCACCCCCAGCATCCGGCGCGTCTCTGCCTGGGCCGGCAGGCGTGGCGGGCAGCCCCGGGCACCAAGTCTGCAGTGTCACCTGCTCTTCTCCGGCATCTAGGCGTCCCGGCCGCAGTGGCTGGAGGTGAGTAAATCGGCGGCCGCCGGTGCCGGGGCGCCGGAGCTTTCCTCGGCGCGGTGGGGAGCCGAGGGCGGGCCGGCAGAGGTGGGGCGGCGGAGGGCGGAAGCGGCGGCGACGCGATTACGAAACCCGCGCGGCTCCGCGTCGGGCGCGCAGCTCCCCCCGACTGCAGCGGCACTGCGCTGTGGGGGAAGCGAGAGGGGCCAGGTTGTCCCCGAAGCCGCCGCCCCTGCTAGGGGAGTTGGGTAATGTGGACACCCAGATAAGGGCTCAACACCCACGCCGGGCCCCCAGAATCGCTCTTCCCTGTGCGCGACAGGCACTGCAGGGCAATCTGAAACGGAGCCCCCAGATCCTCCAGGCCCAAGTGCAGAGATTCCCAGAAGCCGCTCCCCTCGTCTCTCCTGCTCAACCCCAAAGGGAAGGTGGCTAGGTTTAACTCCCCACGAGCAGTGGAGGGACGAGGAATTGGGGAAAGGGTTGCAGAATTTTTCTGATTCTTAAAAACACATAGTCACCTGAAGTCCTTAAATTGGGGGGAAGGAACGCTCCTCCTTTCCATTGGCGTGTAGTGTTCATGTTTTTAATCCATAAACCCAGATTTGGAGGACAACTGGCTGTTCATGCATTGCACCCCTCGTCAACACGGTGCTGGAAAAAATCGGGAATGATCAAGCACAGCAGTAAGCCTAGAGAGATGTTCCAACCCCCTCTCCTCCCTAAAGTGCTCTGGAACCTATCGTTTGAATTAGCCGAGTCAGGCGGGGAGGGGGCGGGGAGTCCTTCCGGCCTCCTTAGGAGGGGCTGCATTGCAGGGGGAGACTGAGCTGACAGACTCAGTCACTGTAGAGGGAGAGGGAGTGAGAAGACAAAGCCGACAAAGCCCCAGCAATTTCTTTTTCTGTGGTCCAGAGCATACCCCGGAGCCCCCGAGGCAGTCCTTCCGTCTTTGGAACACGCTAGTCATTAATAACAGGTAAACTAAACCAAAGGAGGGGGCAGGGGCCTGCAAAGATAGATGAGCAGCTTCTTCTGGTGGGGGACAGATCAAGAGGAGAGAAGGGGGCGCTTTGAACAATGGCATTCGTGCCTTGTCACCCTGTACACAGACACTAATTTCTAGCAATTTACATGTAGTTATTTATCAGCACTTATCTCCTTCAAGTATGTTTTGTTTTTCTATAATTTATTGGCCTGTGTATTCAATACTGTCTATCTGGGTATCTTCCATTTTAAGCTATCATGTGTTCTAACAATTATTTGATGACTCCTATGTCTCTCAAGCCTCTACATCCCCATACTTGCAGATTTTTTAATCTTACATTTGTCTCTGTAGGAGGGAGTTTGGGGGAAGGGATGTAATTCTGACCTTTCTTTTCACATTTTCCTTCTCTCTCCCTATCTCAGATCTTTCCTCTGCAGAGGCAGCTCAAAGCAGGAAAGGTGGCAGGGTCTCTGTGTCAGAGAACTGCTTGATCCCATATTGTAATTAGTACAGCTCACAGGAGTTAGGTATGGGGTAGATTCTGGAAAAGGAATGCTTATTTGCAGCTCAGTGGAAAAGATAGGGGAAGGACATGGCTGATAGGAAAATCCAAGCTCAGAGTGAGGCACATATGAGAAGCCAGAGAGCTTCCATTCTCCATCACCTCCACCTCTCCTTCTTCCCCACCCCCCATGATGGCAGCATGACACAGCAAGGCCCTGTTGAGTAGGCCTGGGATGCCCACAGAGGGTCTGGACAAAGGGCATTTGGGCGTGTCTGTGTGGCTCAGACAGAGTCAATATTTCTAATCTGTATATTCTCTAATCACATATCTCTTAGAATAGACAGTGATATTTAGAAATTAACTTTGCATTAATATCTGTATAATTGAAAATGAAGGGTAGTGGAAAGCATTAATTGAGCATGTATTGTGGTACAAGGCACTATCTAAACCCTTTAAGATAAGTACATGATCGATGTGAAGATGGATGAAGTGTGGGTGGAGAACATTTGGGAATGGAAAGGGGAAGCTGGCTGAAAGGGAACCTTTGGCAAAATTTTGAGGACTTGAGAATTAAATGCATACTGTATTAAACCAAAAATTTAATTACTACTTACATTAGTAAATATCTTTTCATATCGTAGCTTCAGTTTTCTGTGTAGTCTATGTTCTTGATTTGATTTTAATGCTACATGCTTATACAAGTATCTATCCTTTATACATGTCTTTGGGTCAATGACATAGCTAGAGATTTTAGGCCTTTTGAGCTAATATTTCATAAAATTTCCTTTATTTATTTATTTATTTATTTTTGGCCAGGGCTGGGTTCTAACCCTCCACCTCAGGCATATGGGGCCGGTGCCCTACTCCTTTGAGCCACAAGCGCCGCCCATGATTTCCTTTAAGTTTTTAATTGCAGGATGGCTCTGCCCAACACTCAGCAACTGTTTGGGCAGTTTTTATGCATACTCTGGTTGTAAGGAGTCAGTTTGTCAAAGAGCTTTTTCCCTTTCTCAGCTACTAGTTTGCTCTCTACTGCCTTTTTTTTTTTTACCCTTCAGATCAGAATTATGAGAACAATCAATGTCTAACACACAGAATATTGTTCTTCAGGAACTGAGAATTCTTGTAAATAGAAGTTTTGAAAATACTGGTATACGACTATGTAAAGCTGTGGGGCAGCTATCTATGTATAACACAAAAAGGGATCAGATTGGGAATTATGAGACCTGGGTTCTACCTAAACCGTCTGGAAGACTTCCCAAGTCACTAGATAATTTGTAAGGTGTCTTCTAGTTTAAAAATTCTAATTTTTAGGCTCGGCACCTGTGGCTCAAGTGGCTAAGGTGCCAGCCACATACACCTGAGCTGGCAGGTTTGAATCCAGCCCGGGCTGCCAAACAATGATGACTGCAACCAAAAAAAAAAATAGCTGGGCATTGTGGTGGGCACCTGTGGTCCCAGCTATTCGGGAGGTGAAGGCAAGAGAATCTCTTGAGCCCAGGAGTTGGAGGTTGCTGAGAGCTGTGAGCTGTGATGCCACGGCACTCTACCCAGGGCGACAGCTTGAGGCTCTGGCTCCAAAAAAAAAATTTCTAATTTTTTCCCACTATGATTCTATTTTTTAGAGAGCCTATTATGTGCCCAGCTAAGCTCACTCTGGAATAGACTTGTAAGGTAGGAGATATAAAAGAAGCCAGCTCACTAAGGACATAATTGTTAACACAGGACACAGTATCTGTAGGCAGAAGTCAGGAACAGTCTCGACTCCTAAGGTTTGCTTCTTAGGATCCCTATAGTCCAGACTTAAGCAGGAGTTGGTTGGTTAATAGGTACAACTGTTTTTGTAGCTCTTTTTCTGTACAAATGTCTCTGCAAATTACTGTGGGTATGATCAGAGTTGGATATCATAGGAAGATAACCTCACCTCAAATGCTCCCCAACCCTGCTCCAGTCCCTGCATTATATTCCTAAGTACTTTCTCTGCTGAGTAATGCTCAGTTCCCAGTTTTATTCTGGAGCTTGAACCTAAGAAGAAAAAGATCAACTCAGAACTCAGGGTTTTTGTTGTTGTTGTTCTTGTTGTTTTTTTAAGACAGAGTCTCACTCTGTTGCCCTGGGTAGAGTGCTATGGCATCATAGTTCACAGCAATCTCAAACTCTTGGGCTCAAGCAGTCTTCCTGCCTCAGTTTTCCAAGTAGCTGGGACTATAGGCACCTGCTAGTTTTTTAATTTTTTTTAGTAGAGATGGGGTCTTGCTCTTACTCAGGCTGGTCTCCAACTCCTGAGCTGAAGCAATCCACCTGCCTCAGCCTCCCAAAGTACTAGGATTACAGGTGTGACCCACTGTACCTGGGTTCAGAATTCAGTTTTATTTATTTATTTATTTATTTAGGTTGTGTGGGGTTTTTTTGTTTTGTTTTGCTTTGAGACAGAGTCTCACTCTGTTGCCCTGGGTAGAGTGCTATGGCATCATAGCTCACAGCAACCTCCAACTCCTGGGCTTAGGAGATTTCTCTTGCCTCAGCCTCCCAAGGTAGCTGGGACTACAGGTACCCACCACAACACCTGGCTATTTTTTTGTTGCAGTTTGGCCAGGGCCAGGTTTGAACTCACCAACCTTGGCATATGGGGCCAGTGCCCTACCCACTGAGCCACAGGCACCACCTGTGTTTTATTATTATTATTATTTTTATTAAATCATAACTATGTACATTAATGCAATCCAGAATTCAGTTTTAATTTCTTTTTTCTTTTTTAGAGGCAGAGTCTCACTTTGTTGCCCTTGGTAGAATGCCGTGGCATCACAGCTCACAGCAACCTCCAGCTCTTGGGCTTAGGCAATTCTCTTGCCTCAGCCTCCCACGTAGCTGGGACTACAGGCACCCACCACAGTGCTGGCTATTTTTTGTTGCAGTTTGGCCAGGGCTGGGTTTAAACCTGTTACACTCTGTATATGGGGCTAGCGCTCTACTCACTGAACCACAGGTGCCACCCCAGAATTCAGTTTTAACATTAAAAACATCCTAACCTACCCACTCACCATCCCCCTTCATATGTTGTCACCATGTTCTAGATTAAGGCTTTCTTTTTCTGCCTAAGTAGAGTCATTTCACATTATATGAGGGTATTTTGGAACCTATTTATGGTTGCTATTAAGTCTCAGGCCTGGTGAGCGCCAATGGGTTATTTGGAGAAGGGCCTTTTGAAACTTGGGGTTCTATTTTAGGAGGCAGTGGAATGTTCTTTCTGCTCCTTTGGGAACATTTCAACTAATGCTGCTTGCCCCTTCCCTTAGCTAGTAAGTAGCACAGCTGGGAGCTACAATAGTCATATATTATTAGGCAGAAAATGGGTAGCCTAAAGAGAAAAGGTGATAGAACTACCCATTAAAGCACAGAAAAGTATTTGATGTTGTTAAAGGACCTTCTCTTTCCAATCTAAATTTTGCTTTCTCACCTGGAATTTCCAATCCATTTGCTCTATCATCAGATATACTCTAGCATTGGGATAAAAGAGACCATGTTATAGCATAGCATCTGGGTTTTGCTCTGAAGGAGAGATAATAGATGGTTAAGGTTTACCTGTGAGCTAATAGATGGGAGTGGCAAAGTACTTACTGTATTAAATAAATATTGAGGGGAAATTAATCAGCTGTGCAAAGCTCAGCACTGTAGGTAGAAAAAGTAGACTAGTTTTTATTAGGAAAACTGTTGAAGGAGATAAGACCATTCTTATACATAAAAACACAGTAACAGTGATTGGTACTCAGAACTGGGGGAGTCAGGTAAAACTCTACAGGGAAGATGATGGAGGAAATAGAGTAGAAGAAGCTGAGTAAGTTTAAGGAAGTCATCCTGGAAGAGTTGATTTATAGTAGAGTTAGAAGGCAAGAAAAAATAAAAAGCAGAAATGTCATGGAAGACCTTTCCACAGGTACCATGATCTAGCAAACCAAAGTCAAGAAGTCAAGTGTCTATAAATATAAGAGTTTGAAGGCTAGACTCAGTGGCTCATGCCTGTAATCCACACACTCTGGGAGGCTGAGGCAGGCAGATTGTTTGAGCTCAGAAGTTCAAGACTAGCCTGAGCAAGAGCGAAACACTGTCTCTAAAAATAGCCAGGCATTTTGTCAGGTGCCTGTATTCCCAGCTACATGGGAGGCTGAGGCAAGAGAATTGCTTAAGCCCAAGAGTTTGAGGTTGCTGTGAGCTATGATGCCCTAGCACTCAACCCCAGGATGACTCTT